AGTGTGAAGTCCATCCATTCAAGATGTTGATGTAAATTACTGTATCTTTTATTTCTAGAATTTTCATTTTATTTTATTATAACTTCTTTGTTTTGGTGATTTTCTCCATTGTATCATTTGATTTCTTGAACATTTTAATTATAGTATCTTAGTCCAGGTTCTCCAAAGAACAGAGCCCAAGGCAAAATATGTGTGCCAACACTGGTATTTTATGACTATGGGAATAACATGAGGTTTTTCCAGGCCCTTCCAGCAGAAAAACAAGGCATGAAGCCAAGCCCTGGGTTGCAGGAGGTAGCAGTGGTATACCTGTTTATAAGTTTCTTTCACTTAGTGCCAATATCTAGATTTCCTGTAATTATGTTATTTTATCTTTTCACATTTTTTGTTGTTTCATTTTTTGTATGCCTAGTTATTTTTAAAGTCTGTGCTGTGTTTTGTAGATGAAAAATTATGGATATAATTTGAGACTGGATATTTTGCTTCTAGAAAACAGTTTAGTTAGGAGCCAATCACCTCCATCCCGCAAATAACTGAAATAATTTGAACTTGGGCTTCATTCTTTTTGAAAGCTCGTCTATTTCTAGTTCTCTTTCACTCCTGGAATAGAGCCTTCTGGGATCTCAGGAGAAAGCTGGGCTACTTACTAACACCCCTCACCTTGGCAGACCTCGGGCTCCACTATTTTCCCCCGCCCAGCTCCATGAGTCTGATGACAGGTCTGCTCAGCTTCTCAGCCTCTCAGTCACCACGCACAAACTGGAAAATGCCTTGAACACAAAGGTGGTGCCAAAAGTGGTGCCAAAGGCTGTGCTCACGTTTCTGGGCTTCCTTTGTGTCTGAGATCTTGGCCCTGCAAATCCTCACTAGCGTCTTAGTTCTCTGATGCCTTAAAATACATTTTAAAATACCTTATGCAATGTTTTTACTTATTCTTCCTGGGAGGATGCATCAGAAACAAGCTGTCCTGCCATAGCCAGAAGTACAATTCCTCAGTAGTGTTTTCTGCCTCTGTAGCTTTGACATTGTCCCCACCCTGTCACCATAACATTGCCCCTTCCTCCTGCACATACATTTTGTGGCTGGAATTTTCACACCATCCTGTAATTAAGTACATTAAACTATTATTTTTCAGTGAATCCTTGCTTAATTTCACTCAGAAGCTCACTCAATTTATTGCATCATTATTGTTTCTTACACCTCACTTCTGTATTTGTATTGGTTCTTGTTGAGTATATCAATAACTCAGTTTTTTCTTTATTTCTTCCTCTGTGAGTGTCTCCAAGTGGTAAAGTTTGAGAGTCATCTTGTGTCTGAAAATATCTTCATTTCATGAATGAATGATTGATGAGAAGTTGATAATTGATCATCAGATACTTATTAATAATTGGGTATAGCATTCAAGATCCAAAATTCTTGCCCCTCATCACTTTGAAAATATTATTTTGGTTTTTTGGTATCCAGTATTGCTCATAAGAAATCTGATTTCCTCTTTTATGCAGGTCATCATTATTTTCTTTCTGGTAACTTTTAGGATTTTTCTTTAACATTGCCGTTGTAATTTTTTTTCTTAATGTATGTTTGGAACTTAATGAGCATGTTAAAACTGGATACCCTATCTGTCTTTGTCGTTGTTGTTATTATTTATTTTCTGTGTATATATGTGTAGATTTATATAGGATCTTACTATGTGTGATCTTCTGTCTCAGCCTCCTAAGTAGCTTGCGTCACCATGCCCAACCTTTTAGGGTGGGCCAAAATTGAACCAAGGCCTTCCTTGTAGCCTCAGCCTGCTGCAAAGCACAGCATCCAGCATGTACTACCGTGGCTGGACCACATCTAGTGTTTTTGTTGTTGTTTTCAGTTTGCTTCAGGGCGTACATACTTGCTGGGTATGGCCACATTGCAATTCCCTTTCTTGGGATTTTGGGCACACATGCACACGCACCTGGCATGTGTTTCTTTGAGAGAGATTTTTGCTATAGGGCCCATGCGCTCGCCAGAGTGACAATGAGAGACAAAGATACAGAAAGTGAGAAATCACCCCCCAGGGTGGTTGGCCACACTGCAATCCCTTCTTCTAGATTCTCCTCTCAGTATCTTGGGCACACATGCACATGCACCCAGTGTGAGTTTTAAGCTGCTGGGTCTGGGACTTGAACGTGGTCAACTACATGGGAGTCCAGCGATGTAATCATTTTGCCACCTAGATTTGGGGCTAATAACGTACAGTTAGCCATGTAGAATCCAGCACCTTAGCCTCCGTGCCACCTGCTGGCTCCATGCACTCCTAGTTTTAAGGTCTAGGAAATTCTCAACAATTATGTAATTAAATATTGCTTCTTTATGATCCTCTCTATTGTTACCATTTTTTTTAACCTTAGAAATATTGTAGCAAATATGTGTGTGTATACACACGTACACACATACATATATACACATATATGTATATATATAATTGTATAATATAGTATATATAATATATTATAATATATTTATTTATTTAAATATATTTATAATATATGTGTTATATTTTTTTCCCTAGAGGGTGTGTGTACTTGCCAGAGACAGACAGACAGACAGACAGACAGGAAGAAGAGAAAGCACTTCCCATGGGGAATTGTTATGCTGTTTTTCCTTTTGTTTCATTTTCTCTCCTTTTGTGATTTTGGACATACTTGCTCTTATGCCCAGCATGTTCGTTTGTTTGTTTGTTTCATTTGTCTTTAATGCCCAGCATGTTTCTTGAGCCTCTGAGTCCAGGACTCAAACATGAGGGTCAGCCATGTGGAATCCAGCTGCTCTAATCACCAGGCCAGAGAGCCAGTTACAATACTGTAGCAGATTTATTAATAGCCCTTATAAAAAATGCCTTTCAAAAAAATTAAGCTGCTTTTTTTTTTTTTTTTTTTTGAAGAGGTTTTTGCTATAGGGCGCATGTGCTCGATGGAAAGACAGAGAAAGACAGACAGAAAGCGAGTGGGGGATGGCCACACCGCAATTCCTTCTTTTCCTTTCTCCTTTTGGGATCTTGGGCACGCACGCACACGCGCCCAGCGTGAGTTTAAGCCACTGGGTCTGGGACTCAAAGCACCATCGATGACATAGGAGTCCAGTGGCATAGCCATTACGCTAACTGCTAGTCCCAGCTACATTATTTCATAAATATTTCTTTTACTATATATAGCATGACTATTTCCTTATTAAGGAATAGTCTTCTCTAATATCACATTTATTTGTTGATACTTTTAAAATGATAATTTTGTGTTTTACGTTTTCTTTTTCTTTTTTTTTGGAAAAGTTTTTGCTGTAGGGCACATGCGCTCGCCAGACAGACAGAGAGCCAGAAAGTGAGAAATCACCCCCCGGGGGGGGGATGGCCACACCGCAGTCCCTTCTCCTCCATTCTCCTCTTGGGATCTTGGGCACGCTCGCACACACGCCCGGCGTGAGCTTGAGCCACCGGATCCGGGACACGAACCACGGTTGACTACGTGGGAGTCCAGCGATATAGCCATTATGCTAACTGCTGGTCCCAAGCAAGTCACCAGGTCCAGGACTAGAACTGCAGTCAGCCATGTGGGAGTCCAGCGCCCCAACCACCATGCTACCTGCTGGAGTCTGTTTTACGTTTTCTTCCCTGTTACATTTAACATTTTAAGCTTTGAAAAAATTTCTCAGTAGGGCCATCAGGTGGCATGGTGGTTAAGGTGCTAAACTCCCCCATAGTTGACCGCAGTTCAAGTCTTGGACTCAGCGACTTGAAAATCACACCAGGTGTGGGTGTGTGTGTGCCCAAAACCCTGAGAAAGAGAGTGTAGGAAAAGGGATTGTGGTGTGGCCATCCTCCCTGGGGGTGATTTCTCACTTTCTCTGTCTCTCTCTGACAAGCACATGTGCCCTATGACAAACCTTAAAAACAATTCTGACACAATTGTATGTATTTATGGTGTACATCATGTTTTTAAATATGCGTAAATTGTGGAGTGACTAAAGCTAATTAATATATACCTGGCATCATATATTTACTGTTTTCGTGGAGAGAACACTTACAGTCTACTTTCTTGGCAATTTTCAAGGACCCAGTTTTGAACTCCATGTGTGTGTTAGCACTTCTGGACCCGTCCTCCATGAGGTGAACTTCTGTTTCCATCTCTTTCTGTCTTTGTGCTACATTCTGGGTTGGGGACTTTTCTCAGTTCCACATTTATTCAGTTCGTTGGGGGCGGGGAGAAGTTGAGGAAAGAATTTGCTGCCTGCACAAAAGAGCTTGCAGGCAACCGTGCCGGAGACCGTAGCTGCTTCACAGCCTCCTGTTCTTTACTTAGGCGCTAGAATGTTCACATGCACACATGTCTTTGTGGACACTTGAGTTAAATTTCTATAGTTGTGCTTTCAGAAGAGTCTGCTTAAAGAGGCTGTTATTAAAAATCTAAGAATGTGGAGCTGGCAGGTGATGTGGTCGTTAAGGGCGCTGGACTCCCACGTGGCTGACCGAGGTTCAAGTCCTGGACCTGGCAGTTTGCTTTCTCACTCTCTCTCTCTCACACACACACTCTGTCCCTCTCTGGTCACATTTAAATAAATAAATAAATAAGAATTATTTTTAAAAAAAGAAAGAAAGAAAGCATTCCAGTGACATACTGTATTGTGAGCAAACCCAGATTTGGTTTCAATCTCTGCTGTCATGGAAATTAAAATCCAAAGTATCAGAAAGAATAAAACCACTAAATAAAGAAACAAGGCCACCTTCAGTTGTGTGAACCCATTTACAGACATGGAATCATCTAGAAAAATAACATCCGGGAGCTTTGTTGGAAATCTCCTGCCCCTCATAGGCGACGAAAGTCGATGAAGCGCTCTCATGTCTTTAACCGTTCGGAATTTTCATGTCCCGTTGTTTGTTCTCATACAGGCACAGGGTGTTCATCTCCTTCTGAGGGGCGTGGAAGGTGCTAGCTCACGGCGTGCCAATGCGTTCTCACCTTCTCTCTGTCTAGACCAGGTACACCGCGGCCAAGGACAGCGTGGTCCAGTTTTTCTTCTATCAGCCCATCAGTCATCAGTGGAGACAGACAGACTTCTTTCCCTGCACTGTGACTTGTGGAGGAGGTGAGGCACAGACTGTTCATGAATATTTAGAGCTTAGAATTAGACACCATCTGTTGGTTTGTGTGTTTGTTTTTACAGATTTTTGCTGTAGGGCATGTGCACTCATTAGAGAGACAGACAGACAGAAATCATGCCCCTGGGGGTGACCCACCCTAATCCCTTCTCCTCCATCCTCCTCTTGGGAATTTGGGTGCATACATGTGAGCCCGGCATGAATTGTAAACGGCCGGGTCCAGGACTTGAATTGCAGTCCACTACGTGGGAGTCCAGCAACGTAACCGTTAGCCATCTACCTGCCCCACGTTTGCATTTTTTAAGCTGATTTATAATTGATATGGTAATCATAGCTATCTGTCACATAGCGGTTTATCTATAGTCTGGAATGTAGCAGTATCAATGAACCTGCGTCTCTTGGGTTGTCGGGAAAGCCATGACACGTTTGGCATAGAAAAAAGACATCATGACTTTTCCGACCACCCAGTACTTTTGTTCTTGAAGACAAGGGGAAAAACCAGATTCGGAAAATACCTTTTTAACTTTTAGCGTAAAACTGGAAACATGTTTGCGTGTTTTATTGCATTTCTCTTCTTCGTGTGCACTTGCCAGGGAGAGTCAGAGAGGGAGAGAGAAAAGCAGAGTTCTCCCCAGTGGGGTGTAGTCACACCACAATCCCGTCTCCTCTATTTCTCCATCCTATCAGGATCTGGGGCTTACATGCACATAACGTGTTTTTCATGCCATCGTGGCTGGGATTCAAACTGTGGTTGACTCTGTGGGATCCAACTCCTTTAATCACTAGGCTATAGGGCTAACCCTTGTATTTCTATTTCGTGTTTTAATTTTGCTAGCAGTTGTGCCTGCTGGAAAGAGACAGAGGGCGGGGAGAGTGGAGACTCTCCCTAGAAAAATCCTCTTTTACTCTTTGTCTCATTCCCAGAGTTGGTTAGTATTTACTATACAAAGTATTCCAGTCACGTGAGATTGCGTATTTTGTTATAAACTTTATTGTGCACCCCTAATACTGAATGAATGAATAAAATGAATGAAGATAAATGAAACAATTATTACGCCACATGTATTATTGTGTTGTGGTGTGCTTGTTGCTTTCTGGCATTTATCTAATGTATGCTTTTTTTAAAATTTGCTACAGGGCATACATGCTCACCAGAGAGAGACAGAAAGCAAGAGAGGGAAAGTGAGAAAGCAAGCCACCAGGTCTGGGATTCGAACCATGGTGGGCCATTTGGGAGTCCAGTGCCTTAACTACCACGCCACCTGCTGGTCCCCTAATGTATGCTTTTTGTATGGATATGATGACATTATCCTAGCATGGTGGAGTATGTCCTTTTCAAGTTCTTTCTCTGTTTATCTTCAGTTTCCCCTGAATTTTGTTGAACGCAAAAAAGTGTTTTTATGAGGCAAAGACTTCTTTAGAATTTCGAATCACTGACTCTCCAGCAGGTTCCACGGGAATTTCTTTAAACTGTTTGACCTCTCCTAAAGCCGATGGAGATACAACACTGGAATGGAGTCTGTGAGCTGGGTAACCCAAATGTATCTTTCTCAATCCAGGCTTCAGGAACTTTTTGGCCAATTCTGTTCTCCAGAATGTTCATGCCAAAGTTGACATCAGGAGGTAGCGTGACCTAGTGGAATACGTAATGAAGCTGGAATTCGAGGACCTGAATTCACTTTCCTTGCCACTCCTTAGCTCTGGGGCATCTTTGAACCTTTTCATCTAATGTAGCAGGGGTCCCCAAGCTCTGGGCATGGACCAGTACTGGTCTGTACTATTACAGTGTAATCCTAATGAAATGTAATAATAAAAATAAAGAGCACAGTAAACGTGCACTTGAATCATCCCGAAACTATCCCCTGTATCCCAGTCCATGGAGAAATCATCTTTCACAAAACCGGTCCCTGAGGCCGAAAAGGTTGAAGGTATGTAGCCCTGGCCCTCTGAGGACATGTTAGAAAACACCATGAGATGACAGACACAGCAGCTTCAAAAGCTTGTGGAAAATGGAATTAAAGTACAAGTTTATTTTGGTGCAAAACATTTTTGAAATCATGCATGATTTTCTCATAATACACACGTTTTTCACGAGCTTTGTGAAGACCCCCTCATGTGCTAAGGGACCTACGGTGCCTGGCAACTAGTGAGCATTCAGAAAAGCTGTTAGAGCAGACGGTGAGCCTGGGTTTTGTCACAATGCCTCTGCCTTGTATATAGGTCCTGGCCGTCTCGGTTTTACTGGTCCCAAGGGGCGTGGCACTTTGAAACTCAGCAGTCGCGGCGGAAAGCTCTAAGCGTGGGAGGGATTGGCCCGCGGATACCTGCCTGTGTGGTTTTTGGTTTTGTTTTAGTTTTGCTATAGGGTGTATGCATGTGCATGCGCTTGCTCTGGCCAGAGAGAGAAAGTGAGAAATCACCCCTCAGGGGACGGCCATCCACCATCGCCTCTCCTCCAGTCTCCTGTCAGGATTTTGTGCATGTACACATATGCGCTGGCATGATTTTCAAGCCGCTGGGTTCAGGACTTGAACTACTCAGCTGACCATGTGGGATCTGCCTGCTGGCTCACCTACATGTATGTTTAATACTCAGAAACTGAATCCAAGCACCTCAGAGTCAGGTGTGTCACGGTTCCGAGAAGATAAGGGTTTCTCATGTACCCTTAAATAAAAGCAAAGAGATTTTTTTTTCACTCTATGCTGCAGAAAAACAAACATCTCTTTCTTTTCCATTTATTTCTAGTTCTTAGATAGTTATTCAGAGAGATATTCCCATTTGGACCCAGGAGATAAACGAGAAGCTTTCTACCCTGGGGTTAGGGGTGGAACATCTTTTTTTTCTTTTTTTTTTTTTCTTTTTTTTTGAGAGGTTTTTGCTATAGGGCGGGCACACTCGCCAGACAGACAGAGACAGAGAGACAGAAAGCAAGAAATCACCCCCCAGGGGGGATGGCCACGCCGCAATCCCTTCTCCTCCATTCTCCTCTCGGGATCTTGGGCACGCACGCACACGCGCCCGGAGGGGTGGGACATCTTATAGTGGGATTTGGCTTTTATTATTCAGTCGATTACGTCCATCGGAGAAGAATAGATATTTCTCATACTGGCGTGCCCATGGAAAGACCTACCAGGCCCTGTGGAACCATAGACGGTCGTGGGAGGATCTAGCACAACGATAACTGGATTTAAGAATAGCCAGAAGAGGGACCAGCAGATGGCATAATGGTTATGTCACTGGACTCCCATGTAGTTGACCACGGTTTGAGTCTCAGACCTGGTGACTTCAACTCATACCGGGCGTGTGTGGGTGTGTGCCCAGAATCCCAAGACGAGAAGGGATTGCAGCGTGGCCACCTCACCATCTCCCCGAGAGATGATTTCTTGCTTTTTGTCTCTGTCTCTCCAGCAGGCCCACCCCCTCTCTAGCAAAAGAAAAAAAAAAAAAAAAAAAAAAACCACTAAGAACAGCCAGAAGATTTCAGGCAACCCTTGGAGTGCCTGCCCCTTTTTGCACACTGGTAGAATTTCAGTCTATTTGTTCACAATACAGGAAAGCAGTCTGCCTTGTTTCTGGTAGTTACCGCTAACCTGTGATAAAATTAAAGAGGAGAGTTAATGGTCTCTTCCGAAATTATAAACACCTGTATGCTCTCTGTCTCCTTTTAGAAGTATGTTTCTATTTAGAGCAAAATTTCTGAGTCAAGGAGCTCTAATCTCATTCCATACTTGTTTTGGGGGAAAATAAAAACACATGCGTACAGCCCACAAGGAAAGCATTACCCAAATTTAATTAACTAATCAAATCTACATGATTTGTGTGAACAGCATTTCAGACTTTTTTGGGGGTAATCAAGAAAATCCGTTTGCTGGTCGGTAAGGTACCGCGGGTACTTGGACAGAGTTTCCTGGTCTTGTCTGTAATCGTCTGTGTGGGACACTTGAGAGCATTCTGGAGCAGGCAAGAGACTGCCCTTGCCATCTGACACCGGAGACTTTCTGGCAGATACTGGCCCTTGAGTGACATTTTATTGACTCCATTCGGATTTTCATTCTTGTGGTTTCGACCTTGCTTTTCATAATGCGTCCCAGTCCTTCGACCCTCAGCTTCCATCCAAGCCATGTCTGGTAAAAAGTTGTCTCGTGGTTTATAAAATCAGATTCCTCCCGGCAATCAGGAGTTTAAATGTATTTTTAGAACTTTACACCAATTAGCTGAGGCTGAGAGCTTAACTTTGGTTTTTGTGTTTTTTTGTTTTTTTGTTTTTTTTTTTTCCTGAAGATCTCATTCTAATTTTGAAACATTACCTTTAAAAAGAGATGTTTAACTTCTCACAACACTTTGTAGTGACAGGAAAGCTGGAGTCAGGTATTTCAGGAAATAGAAGCATCGGCTTGGGAGTTGCTTTTTCACTTTACAGCACTCGTCTGTGCGGTACATTCGTTTTCCTCAGAAACTGTACAAATTGGGTTTAATAGAATCGGAGAAGGTCGTCATCCTAGTCCCTGTGAAGACTTGTGAGGTGGGGTCAGGGGGTATGTAAAAGACGGATTTTGCTCCTCTGTGTATAGACCGTGCCTAGTTTCCCAGTTGGACAGCTTCTTGGCTTTCGAGGTACCCCACGTACCCCAAAGCAGCAGAGTAAAATTCAGTTTATGCAAACAGTGGGATACTATGGAAGAAACATTCACTCCATCAGCAACCTAGCCCAGGGGTAGCTCTCAGAGACATAATGGGGGCTAGCCAGTGGCATGGTGGTTAAGCTGGCTGGATCCCACATGGCCCACTGCATGGTTTGAGTCCTGGGCCCAGCAGATTGAAAAATATGAAGGGTGTTTGTGTGTGCCCAAAATCCCAAAAAGAAGGATAAATGGAGACGTGGTATAGTGTGATCGTCCCCTGTGGAAGGCGTTTTCTCACTTTCCTGCTCTCTCTGTCTCTCAACAGCAAGCACACCTGCCCTCTAGCAAATTCTTTTTATTTTTTTATTTTTTTAGAGTTTTGCTTTAGGTCATGTACGTTCACCAAAGAGACAGAGAGACAGAAAATGAGAAATCACCCCCGGGGGGATGACCACGCCACGATCCCTTCTCCTCCATTCTCCTCTCGGGATTTTGGGCACGCTCGCACATGCACCTGGGGTAAGTTTTAAGCCTGTTTGAACTGTGGTCAACTGTGTGGGACTCCAGCAATGTAACCATTATACCATCTGCTGGTCCCCCCCCCCCTCTAGCAAACTGAAACAAAACAAACATAATGGTGAGTGAGAAAAGTAGAAAAGATTTAAAACACTCTATCAGGTCCAGCCACCACGGTGGAGGAAGTCCGCTGTACAATACTGGGGCCGTGTGGAAGGCTGGGTCTGAGCCTGAGCACGCTGGGCACCTGTGATCCTGGAGGGCTGAGAGAGTGGGGGAAGGAGGTGGCGTGGCCAGACTCTGTCAAAGGGCGCTTGTCTCTGTCTCTGAATAAAATAAATGTTAACAACAACAAAAAGAAAACGCTAATTTTTAAGTTAAGAAAAGATACACAGAGGCTGACAGGTGGTGTGGTGGTTAAGGCACTGGACTCCTACATAGCCGACCATGATTCAAGTCCCAGACCTAGTGGTTTGCTTTCTCACTTTTCCTCCCTCCCTCCCTCTCTCTCTCTCTCTCTCTCGCTCTCACTCTCGCTCTTGTTAAATTATAAAATAATAATGAGGATGATGAATAAGATTAAATAAAATAATTGTTTTTAAAAAAAAAAAACAAATACACATAAAACATTACATACAACAGTTACAGATTGAAGACATAAACAATGCCCCCCCACCATGCTCAGAGACTCACAAATGAAGGAAATAATTGTGCAGAGGAGTCTCTAGAAGTTTACTCTCAGAGGGCAACTTACAACAGCAGACTTAGGGCTCAGACAAGGTTGATTCTCACACGTGGACAGCTGTAGACTGCACTCATTCCATGCTGCACTCTGCCACCCCGAGCTTTCGGCCGTAAAACCTCTTTGGTGTCTGCAGTTGCTGCCCCGTGCTCCCTCCCTGGAACCTGTTTCTTTTCTTTTTAAAAATGTTGTTATAGGACATGTGACACAGAGAGGAAGAAAAGAAGAAAGCACACCCGGGGGTGTGGGGGGGATTGCCATGCTCCAGTCCCTTCTCCTCCATTCTCCTCTCAGGATTTGGGGCACACACGCACATGTTCCCAGCATGTTTTTCAAGTCACTGGATCCGGGATTCAAACTGCACAGTTGGCTATGTGGGATCCAGCCCACCTTAGCCACCACGCCATGGGCTGGAACTTTTAAAGGAACTGACAAGCTTGGGGACAATGGTCAAGTGTGTAGAGAGAGAGAATTAACGGTTAGTAGCTTCCCTGCTATTTAAGGCAAAGGAAGAAAGTTATCTAGAAGAAAGTCTTGAGGCTAAAAATGGAAGTGTCAGCTTTTCTGTTGTTAAGGGCAGTAGCTGGAACTTTAATCTGAGGGTCTAAATGACTGCCCAGGTCTCAGCAGAAACTCCTGCTCAAGGCCAGGACGGACTCACTTTGAAATGCAGCTGAACCGTGGGAGGGAGACATGCATGGCCTCAGTTGGGTTCTCGCTCACATTCACAAGACGGTAAATCAGAGTAGTTGTCTCTAGAAGCAGCAGGATGGACGCAGCCATTGGGCATGAAGAGGAGATAAAAGGAAGCAAGTGGGAGGGCCTAGTATAACCCCGTGCAAACCGTGAGATCAGCTGCGGACTGAGAGCAGACACCTCACTTCTTAGGAGTCTCTTGTAACGTCTTAGGAGCATGAAGAGTACCACCATGCGTTCAAGTAGTCATTCTCAGTCTCGGCTCCCCATTTCACTCATCTCACAAGAACTTGAGAATGTATTTTATTTTTAAAGTGCTGGTTTCCTGGATCCCAGCCACCGCACTTCTGATTCCATCAGACCGTGAAGGAACCCGGGCATTGGGTCTACTAAAAACTCCCATGTGGTTCTGTTGCATTGCCAGCATGGAGAACCACAGTGTTGTTTCTTAAAGTGGAAAAAAAAAAAAAAAAAAAAAAGAGGAAGAAAGCGAGAGAGAAAGAAAGAGAGAAAGAGTGGCAGGTGGTAACTTTGCCAAGTAAAAATGAAACAGATGCAATATTCAGACTTTCCTCTCCTACTGCTTTAGGTTATCAGCTCAATTCTGCGGAATGTGTGGATATCCGCTTGAAGAGGGTGGTTCCTGACCACTATTGTCATTACTACCCTGAAAACGTAAAGCCAAAACCCAAGTTGAAGGAATGCAGCATGGATCCTTGTCCGTCAAGGTTTGTGTCATCACCTACACCATATTGATCAGTACTTACAAGGCAGTCCGTTTTCGTTTCCTGAACTTGAACTTGAACATGAACATGGCAAGTGCCTATGTTCACACTGATAGGCATGGTCAATAGGAATTAGGACATATCTGTTAATCCGCTCAGTCTTGCTCTCTCTCGTTGTGGGCTAGGTCTCCAGAAGCTCTTTATAACAAGTCTTTCGGAGCATCTCCTGAGTATATAATAGTAAAGACCTCTTCATCCAAGCATGATGTTTGGGCCATCTGCCTGTCTTAAATACCTCTCACTGACCATTCTAGGGTTTCTTTTGGAGAGGTTTTTGCTATAGGGTGCATGCACTCACCAGAAGGAGAGAGAGACAGAAAACAAGAAATCACCCCCCGGGGGGGATGGAATACCACAATCCCTTCCACTCCATTGTCCTCTCGGGATCTTGGGCACACACACACATGCGCCCGGTGTGAGTTCAAGCCACCGGGTCTGGGACTCGAAGCACAGTAGACTACATGGGAGTCTAGTGACATAGCCATTATGCCATCTGATGGTCCCCCATTCAAAGTTTTAAACTGGGTTTGCCCAGTACCACATTTCGACTCTTACAGTATTCACATTAAGTTGAGTATAAATACTACATTGTGCAAGGAACTACAAACTTGTAATGCCAGAGAAGAAAAGCGACGCATGAACTCTCTTGTTGCATAATTTAGTACCTGCTAACTTGGATTGCCTGGGGGAAGTTCCTGGCTTTACTATAGCACCTTAAATAACAGCACAACATCAAGTCCTAAAATGCCCCAGATATCTGCCAGCTGGCTCGGCAGAGGTGTACAAGTGGAAAAGGAAGCATTCTCTGTGGATTTCATTTCCTATCACTAACTCCCATTTCCTGAAGTCCTGATTGGGCATAATTATTAATAGAGCCCCTTCAAAGGGAACATTCTGTGAAACAAAGTGGTTTTGTGAAGATCCTACTAATATGACAGTGTGTTCCTATATCCCTAATGTATTTTATCAGAACAGTGATTATAAAGAGGAATAAATCATTTATCTAAATGAAGAATTTTTTTCTCTTTGATTAATATACCCCTAATTGGGATCAGCAGATGGTGTAGGGATTGTGTTGCTGAACTTTCACATGGCCAACCACAGTTCAAGTCCCAGGCCAAGTGACTTGAAACTTAGACTGGGCAAGCATGCATGCGTGCCCAACATCCCAAGAGGAAAGTGAAGGAGAAGGGGATGCTGCATGGCCATCCCTCTAGAGGATGATTTTTCGCTTTCTGTCTCTCTGGTGAGTGCATGTGCCCTATAGCCAAAGTCTCTCTTAAAAAAATATATAGATACAGATTTTTACCTATGTTTAGTTTTCTGTATTTTCCTCTACAACCAGGCATAGTTTGCAACGAAGATGTTCCTAAAATTAAAGAGATGACGATTGAATGCTGGGGGGTGACTTGGTATACTTGGCATGTTTAGTTTTCATTTTGAGAAATTATCTTCTGGGGTGTCAGGTCAATATTAGTCGCTCGGGGGAGGTGTTTGCTGACTTCGAAATAATATTCTCATCATGGTTTCTCTCGTAGTGATGGATTTAAAGAGATCATGCCTTATGACCACTACCAGCCCCTGCCCCGGTGAGTTTCACGTTTCCTTTTCTGCTTTGTAATCGACTCTAAGTAGATTGCAAGGAACTGTAGTGTCCGTAGCAATCCACACTGTACAAAGGGATAGATACTAGACCCTTGACAAAACTAAAGGAAAACAAACTTTAACTCACGGGTAAGAACGATCTTTCTGGGGCTAGATGGTGGTCCAGTGGTAAACGAGATGCCCTGTGAGGTAGACACACAGAAAGGTTTGAATTCCTGTCCAGAGAGCTTCCTGGGTACACCCCTGGTGCTTCCCTGGGTAGGAACGTGCTCTCAATCTGGGGATGGTTGAAGCTAGGGGCAGATTGTGGCATCAAGACACTGTTGGGGGGTTCTCTCTCTCAGAAGCAATAAATAAATAATCTTGGGGGGAAAAAGATCTTTCTAAGAATTAGGTAGAAGAGGCCATCTCAGAGGGTGACATTTCTCATCTCTGGAGACATCAAGCCTGTCTTGGATAACTGGATGTCATAGAGGGAGCTGAAGCATTGCAACTGGTCAGAAATTTAAATCCTCTTTTATATCTACTTAACTAGTTCTGTTCTTTTCTGACCAAGTTTCTGTGCCTTTCTCGTAAGATTATCTGTGAGTATCTTGTAGTTTAGAAATAGTTCAAAGATGCTTTCATGGGCTCAGCAGGTGGTATGGTGGTTAAGGCACTGGACTCTCCCATGTGGCTGACCATGGTTGGAGTCCCAGACCCGGCAGCTTGAAACTCATGCTGGGTGTGTGTGTGTGTGTGTGTGCATACGCGTGTCCAAAATCTTGAAGAAAATGGAGAAGGGATTGTGGTGTGGCCATCCCCTCTGGGGGGTGAGTTCTCACTTTCTTTGTCTCTATGTCTACATTGAGTGTACATGCCATATATATATATATATATTAAAGAATGTGCTTTCACACTCTGTGTTTCACTTGATTTAATTCTCACAATGACCCTATGAAGGGTAAGTAGAGTAGATGTATTATTTCCATTTGACAGAACCTATGCTTCTGACTGGTTAAGTACCTCGTAACTACAGGGACAGTGTAGCAGTTAAGATGCAGGTCTATAACTCCAAGCCCCAGACACTTTATTTTTTTTCTTTCTTTCTTTCTTTTTTTTTTTTTTTTCTTTGAGAGGTTTTTGCTATAGTGTGCATGCACTCACCAGAAAGACAGAGAGAGATGCGAGACAGCAAGAAATCATCCCCATGGGGGATGGCCATGCCACAATCCCTTCTCCTCCATTCTCCTCTTGGGATCTTGGGCATGCATGTACACGCACCTGGCGTGAGTATAAGCCACCGGGTCCGGGACTTGAACCACAGTCGACAACATGGGAGTCCAGTGACATAGCCATGATACCAACTGTTGGTCCCTGCCCCGTGCACTTTCAACTGAATCACAACAGATAACTTGAGGCCATCTTTTTTGCTGCCATCTTTGAAAACTTGGAACAAACAAGCAAATAAATAAATAAATAATGTATTTGTATTTGTTTGCTTTTGAGCTGGGAACATAATCCTTGGACTGCATGTTCTGTGTCCTGTGGAGGAGGGATTCAGAGGCGGAGCTTCGTGTGTGTAGAGGAATCTATGCATGGAGAGATACTGCAGGTGGAGGAGTGGAAGTGCATGTATGCACCCAAACCCAAGGTTATGCAAACCTGCAATCTGTTCGATTGCCCCAAGTGGATCGCCATGGAGTGGTCTCAGGTAAGCTTTGAGAACATGGTCCTTTCAATTAAATCTCAGATTTTAAGGAATATTTGCTCTGTGCTCAACAATGTTCTGGACAAGTAGGGGATACAGAAGTCATGTGTGAAGTTGGTCACTGTTCCTGAAGAGCCTGGGGAGACAGTTGGAGGATCAGGTAAAGGAGACCTCAGGCATCACTGCAGCTGAAAATAGTTGACATGAAGGACTGTATTACTGGGTGGAAGAGAGGCTGAAGGAGTCCCGACGTCCTTATTGCCTTTGTAGTGCTCAGCCCATCTTAGAAGAGATGTAGAATTTAAGCAAGCAAGAGCCTGGAAAGAGCAGCACCATGGGCGATAACAAGCAGAGATGGCTGAGCAAAGGCATGAACGACACAAAGTGATTAGATTAACTGAGAATTCATGTTACCGAGCATTAGAAAATTACAGTGGAAATACTGTCGTGACCTTGATCTTGCAGTCACTAAGAAGCCTCACAAGTTTTTTTGAATAAAATAATATGTTTTAGGTAATGGAGACAGGGTAACCTAATACTGGAATAGACCAGAGGCAGGCAGCCTATTTGGAAATCATTGAAGGATCAGGTTAATGGGCAGGGGGAAGAAGAAGAAGTGAAACATCCCAGAGGTATGTGGCAAGACTTCATGGCAGATTAGCTCACTTTCTGCTTTCTAGGGAGATGACCAAGTAAACCTCCCGAATAAATAATGTGCAGTTGGATTAGTCAAAGGTGAAAAATGTAGACATTGATATTTAATATTTAAATCTTTTAATTTTCTAGAGTGTGTAATGTAATTGCAACATAATTGATTCAAGTTTCTTTGACTCTTTGAGTGATCTCTGTATACTTAGTTCAACATACATTGGGTCGTCGTAAAAAGTCATGACACATTTTTTGCATAGAAAAACAGAAAAAATATGTCATGACTTTTCCGATGACCCAGTGCATGCATTGACCAGTCTGTTTATCTATTCAATGTGTCAGCGACCATGCTAGAAATTAATTAAATTTGCTCCTGCCTCCCAAAAGCTAAGAAGAATTATATAAGTGTGCATTCAAACAGTATGATGAATTATAACATTAGGGACAAAGGAGAAATGATTCATTTCACCTGGGTCAGGAAGGGCTTCAGAAAGGATGCAGCACTTGTATCACTTGAACTTGAAGAATAAGTGAGTTTTCCAGTAGAAGACTTTTTAGTTTTTTTTTTTTTTTTTCTTTCTGATATCCCCAGACTAAATATCATCACCTTAGAGAGAACTTCATCCATTCTTGTTAGAAGTATGCAGAAGTTATTCTATTTTGGTCACATATCCCTAGTGAAAATTTGGAAAGTTACATACCCTTTAACGTACATTGAGGTTGACATCTAAATTTTTTTATGACAAGTTCAAGTAATTGCAAAGACTGTCATTTCCAGTGTGCTGTGAAGGCTGGCATTTTAAAATAAAAGGGTTACAGAATCATTTTTTTTTTTTTTTGAGAGAGATTTTCGCTATAGGGCGCGTGCGCTCGCCAGACAGACAGAGAGAGACATAGAGACAGAAAGCGAGAAATCACCCCCCAGGGGGGATGGTCACGCCGCAATCCCTTCTCCTCCATTCTCCTCTCGGGATCTTGGGCACGCACGCACACGCGCCCGGCGTGAGTTTTAAGCCACCGGGTCCGGGACGCGAACCACGGTTGACTACGTGGGAGTCCAGCGACATAGCCATTACGCTAACTGCTGGTTCCCAAGGGTTACAGAATCTTTAAAAAAAAAAAAGTGTCCAGTGGAAGCTGAATGCCAGAAAGATTTATATCCTTTCCATCTTTCGTTTAAAAATAACGTACAAGGGACCAGCAGATGGCATGATGGTTATGTCACTGGACTCCCACATGGCTGATCACGGTTCAAGTCCTGGTAGCTTGAAACTCGTGCTAGAAGTGTGTGTCTGCAGGCACAAAATCCCGAGAGGAGGGTAGAGGAGAGGGGATTGCTTCTCGGCCTTTTGGCTAAGATCAAGTGTAGAGGAGAGGGGATTATGGCCTAACCATCCCCCCGGGGACTGATTTCTCACTTTCTCCCTCTGTGTCTCTCCAGCAAGCACATGTGCCCTATAGCAAAGATCTCTCTCTCAATAAATAATGTACAAATAGGCTCTTACTTAATAACTTGGGTACTTTGCATATTTTCCCCTTGAATTAAGATTTTCAGTCTAGTTTCACGGCAGAATTTGATCCTAATAATGTATTTTTATGCTTCAAAGTCTTTTATTGATTATGCTGTTCTGCTTTCCCCCGAGAAAGCATGTGTAGTACTTCCAATTAATTGTTTTTCATTTGCATGGCCTTAACGCTCTAGATAGTAAAGCTGTCCTCTCAAACTGAATTATTATTTAATTTTAGGGTACAATGAAAACAACCTAAATATATATTTTAAATGTTGATAAATAATTATTACACATAAAATTAAATATTCATTTGAGGGACCAGCAGTTAGCATAATGGCTATGTTGCTGGACTCTTAGGTAGTCGACTGCAGTTCGAGTCCCGGACCCGGTGGCTTAAACTCACGCTGGGCACGTGTGCATGTGTGCCCAAGATCCTGAGAGGAGAATGGAGGAGAATGGATTGTGGCATGGCCATCCCCCCTGGGGGGGTGATTTTTCTCTTTCTATCTGTCTCTGTCTTTCTTTCTGGCGAGCTCACACGCCCTATAGCAAAAACCTCTCAAAAAAAAAAAATTCATTTGAGATTGATCAATTTCTAAAAGATTTTTAAAATAAAATCATTTATTTAATTTTATTTATTATTTATTTATTTAAATTTGCTGTAGGGCATGTGTGCTCACCAGAGAGAAAGAAAGAGAGAAAGTGAGAAAGCAAGCTGTCACAGGTTCTGGACTTGAACCATGGCTGACCACATGGGAGTCCAGCACCTCAACCAGCGTGCCACCCACTGGCCCTAAGTCAAGCTTTAATAAATAGTTCATACATCCATTGTCAGAATGAACCATGAGTTCAGCAATAATTTTATCATTAATTTTCACTGTTGATTTCTTGCTTTATTCTGTTCTGCGTATACACACAGGGAAAGGTCATTCAGCTCTTGGAACTCCTGAGTTTTATGCCACAAATCATGTGTTGGTCAGTCTTCAACAATGACTTATTTTCTTGTTTAATTCATGATAGGGGTACATACACACTCATGAGGAAGAGAGGACAGAGAGAGGACCCATGACAGGGTCTTGTCACATCATAATCTCCTTGCCCCAGTCCTTGAGCTCATCAGTATCTTGGGCATGGCTGTATGCAACCAGCATGTTCTAGACTGACCAAGCCTAGGATTTGAACCAGTTGGCAGTCATATCAGAAGGCTTAGTGAGATTCCATCCACAGGACAGGCACTGTGTTAAGCAGGTGCTTAAGAACTCAGCCTTTCTGAAAGTTGATGCAGGATTGGTGAGGTCTGAAGTTTATACAGATTAGAGACGAATCTTTAAGTAAAAAAAACCCATAAGATATAAATATTGGGTATGGAAGCGAAATTTTGTTTAAAATTAGAAAAGAAGGGACCGGTAGGTGGCGTGGTGGTTAGGGGCACTGACCTCCCACATGCCAACCATGGTTCGAGTCCTGAACCTGGCAGCTTGCTTTCGCACTTTCCTCTCTCTCACGCTCTCACTCTTGCTCTTTTACTCTGTACCTCTTGTCACATTAAATAAGTAAATAATAAAGCTAAATAAAGTCATTTTAAAAAATAAAAGAATTAGAAAAGAAATTGCAAATTTAAAAAGTATCGATAACATTCCTAATGGGAACTTTGGAAATGGACCAGTATCCATTCCTTAGTTAGAACACTTGTACCACGCTGTGGCCAAATGTTCGTAACAGTGGGAACCAGGTGTGTGTGGACAGGGCATATGGGAACGCTAATGTATATTTAATATTTCTGCAAACCTATAACGGTCCTCATCTAAAAAGTAAGTCTGTTAATTAAAAGACCAATCATACATACATATATATACTCACCAGTGTTTGTAGATAAGTTGAAAAGCTAGATTTTCACATAGTATGAAAACATTTCATTCATAGACAAGAGTAGCATCCAAACTGTAAATTCAAGAGGAAGAAATGCTGACAATTCAAACATCAGAAAATAAAATCAGTGGAAAAAATTGTATAATGCTTCTGACTTTAACTGCCTGGCACATCTCTTGTATTCTCCCCTGTACTATTTGGCTGAATATTTTTTCATAGCCTCTTCGACAGTTTTTGTAAGGTCGATTTCTATAGATGCAATAGAAAGATAATTTTCCAGCATGGTTGATCAAAATTTTATTTATTTTTTGTTAATAGTTTAGGAAAGTTTCTTTCATCTTTACAGATTGTTTTGAATAATATCACTGTTCTAGTTTGTTCTGTTGCTAATAGAAAATACCCAAGGATGGGTAATTTATAAAAATAGATGTGGCCAGCAGATGGCGTGGTAATTAAGGTGCCAGATTCCCACACAGTTGACCACAGTTCAAGTCTCAGATCCAGTAGCTGGAAAATCATGCTGGGCATATGTGTGTGTGTGTGTGTGTGTGTGTGTGTGCGCGCGCGCGCTCAACATCCTGAGAGGAATATGGAGGAGAAGGGACTGTGGCATGGCCATTCTTCCTTTGGGGTGATTTCTCACTTTCTCTCTCTCTGTCTCTTTGTAGCAAGGACACATGTCCTATGACAGAAAGCCCTTAAAAAAATAGAGGCTTATTCAGGGCTGGAGACCCACATCTGCTGAGGGGCTTCTTGCTGATGGGAAACTTGGTAAAGGACCAGAATTTGAACAGCACCAGAGTGTATCCGTGTCCATGTGTCTCTTCACTGGTTTAATTCGCTTCCTTATAAACCCACTAGAATTCAGTCAGGGTGCCCCACCCTGATGCCGCATTGCCTCCCAAAGGCCCCACCTTTCAGTGTCAGTCTAATTAAGTTTCTACTTAGTACCTTCAAAATAGTACCAAGTTCCAACCCACAGACTTTTGAGGGACATATTCAAACCATAGTGGCTATGTGAATTTTTAATCAAATTGGAGAAAACCTGCCACAAGTTTCTTCTGTATTTGAGCAGTTACATTTTGGAGCTGAAGGTTTCTCTTGCTCTGAGGCTCCGAGATGCTTTACAAATAGAAAACTATGCCTTACATAATATTTGTCTAAAGATCGTTTGTGTTTGATATTCATGTAGGTCAGTATATATACAATGATGGCTTTGTGGATGCCTTATGAAAAAGAGATGTAGTAGCTTTTCTTTTCTTCTTTGAAGTGCACCGTGACTTGTGGCCGAGGGCTACGTTACCGGGTTGTTCTGTGTATCAACCATCACGGAGAACACGTTGGCGGTTGCAACCCACAGCTGAAGCTGCACATTAAAGAGGAGTGTGTCGTTCCCATCCCGTGTCACAGACCCAAAGGTACGCTGGGGGTGCACTTCAGGTTCACATCTCATGGTGTCTTCTGGCCCTCATTGCAACATTGCAGCCCTTCTAACTCAGCCTTGTTCCTGAAGCGTTTGATTGCTAGGTGGCGATAGGCCTGTCCACCTAGAGAAAGAAGTGGGACACGTGACTTCTCGGTCTGGAAGGAAACCTGAGCTGTGGTTGACTGAGTACCTGTAGAACGGCTCCTATCTGTCTAGGCCTGGGCTAACACTTCTTGGTAGATACAGCATCATTTGATATAGTCCCTACTTTGAAGAAAAAGGAGAAGGAGGAAGAGCAAAAGGAGAGGAAGAAAGTAAGGAGAAAGAGAAGAGCAGGAAATGAAGGAGGAGCTAGAAGGGAGGAGGAGAAGGAGGAGGTTATTCTCTTCCCCAGGGAGCTCATCCTCCTTTGTTCCCCATAGTGCTTTATATATATATATCTCCATGGGAGTGTTTCTGGAAGGAGAAATAATGCCATCTTCGTCATATGATATAATGCGTGAAATGAGGGCAGACTTTCCGTTCCCAGTCTAGGTCGAGGGGTACATCTAGAATTTCTCCTGTAGTTCCCATTCGTTCCACATGAATGAGCAGAAAGAGGTAACTTCCATGATTAAATCTTGGCACCATCTTTCAAAGATATGCTCCTCTCTGTACTTGACTCTTTTCATATAGTAAATGGAAAGGTTGCTAAAACTCACCCTGGGGACCAGCAGAGTGAAAATAAACCCCCTAAAGCATCTTAAAAGCTACTAGACCTGAGGACCAGCAGATGGTGTAATGGTTACGTTGCTGGACTCCCACGTAGTCGCCTGTGGTTTGACCCAGTGACTTACAACTCATGCCGGGCATATGTGGGTGTGTACTCAAAATACAGCAAAAACCTCTCTCAAAAAAAAAAAAAGTGATAAATAATAGGTAGACAAATGAGCATGGCTAATGTTCCAGTAGAACTTTGTTGATGGACTCTAAAATTTGAATTTTATGTAATTTTCTCATATAACAAAATATTATCTCCCCTTCATACACAAGAGCCTGAGAGGAGAATGGAAGAGAAAGGATTGTAGCATGGCTGTCCCCCCAAGGGGTGATTTCTTGCTTTCTGTCTCTCTGTCTCTGTCTCTCCAGCAAGTGAATGCACCCTATAGAAAAAATCTCTCAAAGAAACAAACAGAAAACTCACCCTGACTGCTTCTAGGTTCTCCATCTATATATAGCCTCATAACTGTGTCTATCTTCTAGAAAAATCACTGGTTGCCATGACAAACACACACATGATTATGTAACTCCATCAGTGAAGACGTTTCTCCTTCCTTCTGCATCCAGCATTTTCATAACCACTTGTTCTTTCTCACTTTATAGTTACATTGTTTCCTTTTTCACATCTAAGAAGGCTTCAAAGAACAGAAAGTGTGGGGGCCATCAGGTGGCACGGAGATAAAAGACTCTGGATTCCCACATGGCCAACCGCGGTTCGCGTCTCAAACCTGGCTTTCTCCCTTACCCCCTCTCTCTCTCCTTTTCTTTCTGGTGAACACCCATGCCCTATAGCAAATTTTAAAATAATAATAATGATAAATAAAATTAAATAGATAATTTAAACAGGATGCTCCTTTATGTCAGGTGTTATTGACAATCATCTCCCTCAACAACTATAACCGTTTGAGTAAACTGTAGCATACGCTCTCATCCTTGAGACTTTCTTAATGCCTGTGTCATTTGCTCTCCTCTGTTAATTTCTTGCATTCAATGGGCAAGAAGAATTTGTGGCAAGAGAAAGCAACCTGTTGTGGTTTAATATGCAAACAACAGAGGTTGGTATTGATTTTTAAAGGGCATTTTTATGAGCGTTTTGAAGGCCATATTCAACTTTGAGAGCGTATTTGACTGTATCATGAGATCATTTTGGTTGCATCTTGATAAGGTGTCAATAATTTAAAAAATACAGCAGAAATGTTTATTCATTCCAGAAGCCACACGATGTACCGTGCTAAAGGTCTCAACTTGGATTTGGAAAACATGACTTCTTCATTAATACTGGTTTCAGCCAATAATGATCGTGCATCCAATTTCTCAATGATGAATGGTAATTAAGGTCATTGTTTATGTTCCTTTTTTCTTAGAAAAAAGTCCAGTGGAAGCTAAATTACCCTGGTTGAAACAAGCACAAGAACTAGAAGAGACCAGAATAGCAACAGAAGAGCCAACGTGAGTTCCGGACCTTTTACGGGAGTAATCAGGGCATAGCCAGTTAACATGATGGATGTAAGTTTTGTCCTCGTTGGAGTACAGTGATCCAGTTAGTATCCAAATGACCTGGACTTGCAGGCTCTAGAGAGCTTGAGCTGGCTAGAACATGTCTTTATTTCACAATTCAGCAGTCCTGCTTTGGCAGTATTTGTGAGAAGCACATATAGGAAACGTTAGTTAACTCAGAGCAGACCCAGTGGTCTGTTAACAGTGAAGAGAGGGGGGATAGTTCCTAGATTTACACACATGATTTGACCAAGAACCATCATAGCATACAAATAAACCAATCAGTTCGTGGTTAAGTCACAGCCTATCTCTGTGAAACCAGTTAAGTTGAAATGTATCAGGGTAGTCTGAGTGATTATAAGAAGAAATCCCAGATATTAATACCAATAAATGTGGTATTATGAATGTTGGAGCCTTATCTACTGTTAACTTTGTGACTTAAACAAGTGTATAACTTTTTCTGTCTTGTTTTCCTTACCTATAAAAGGAGCAGGTTGGGCTTGATCTTTCCTGCAGCCATTCCAACTCAAAAATCCAATGACTCTGGGCCAGCAGGTGGTGTGGAGATCAGTAGGCTGGATTCCCACATAGCCAACTCTGTGGTTCGAGTCCCAGATCCGGTGGCTTGGAAAACACACTGAGCACGTATGTGTACATGCCCAAAAATCCTGAGAAGAGAATAAAGAAGAGATTGGGATGTGGCCATCCCCTTTGGGGGTGATGTAATTTCTCACTTTCCCTCTCTCTCTGTCTCTGCCTCTGTTTGGCAAGTGCATGCAACCTGTCTCTCTCTCTCTCTCTCTCTCTCACACACACACACACACACACACATCCAGAGCTTGCTATCCACATGTGAAATAATGAATCTGGATTATAACAGTGTTGAAGGAAATTAAGACTCAAGAGCAAATCAAAGAAGCATTCTTGAGTTAGAGATGATATGAGGACCATAAGAAAACAAGCAATGAAAGGCATCTGAGAGTTTTAGTCCAGAAGTTTCTAAGGACCACAGCACCAACAACAGACTCAAGTAATTGGACGGGACAGCCGAGTCCACGTCAGACCTGTGATTCTGTGGTGCTGACAACCTCCCTCCACAGAGCAACCCCCAGGACATTAGAGGAAAGGGGGTCTGAGCAGTAATCTGGCCAGTTTCCCTCTGGGAGCAGGCTTTGCTTCAACACCTTCAACCACGGGCAGAATTCTCTATTTAAAGAACCAGCCTGTTCCTGTGTTGAACTACCTGAGTTATTGGCAAGATTTTTTTTTTCCTTCTGTTGAGCCAAAATATACCTCTTAATTTCTGTGCTCTGAGACAGAAAAAACATATCTATTCCCTATCCCATGTGACTAAGTTTTCAGCAATTAAAAAAAAAAAAAAGCTATCTTGGATCCTGAGAGCTTTGTCTTTCCCAAGCTCATCGTTCTCAGCCTCGTCAGTAGTTGTCATGCATTGTTGTTTTTAGATCTCGTCCCAAACTCGTTGCACTTTTCAGAGCTCACTGTGATTTCTCCATGTCCTTTTCACTGTGAGCCCTGGGGGAGTGTGGATTACTTCTGTTTGAAAAGACACCTGGCCTCCAATGATGTGGGCCAAGAAACTGGCCAGTGAGCTCTGACCCGTACAGACTGCACACGCACAGGCTGACTGACCACAGAAAAGTCCGTGGCTGCGGTGAGGGTGCACGACCCCAGGTGGCCGAGGGAAGATGGAAGAGTGAGCAGCTCACACTGAAGCTCCGTGATCAGGAGGAAGAGGGATTAGAGGGAGCTCTGAGCTCATGACAGAAGCTCCATGATCCAGAGAAAGAAAAGGTAGATGATGAAAGAGTAAGTCGAGACCAGAGGAAGGAAAAGGCCCAGAGAAAGCTCATCATGATGATAGAGTCGAAAGGAGTGAAGGGTTAAGGAGTAGAGCCAATAGGATTCAAGCCTCAGAGAAAGCCAGGGAAATTCTGTACACTGAGGGAAGGCTGTTTGGATAGACAGGACGATCTTTCCCAGTCTGTTTTAGGGAAGTAGCAGCATTCGAAAGATGGGAAAGGCAACACGGTGGAGATTAAAGTAATACTACATGTCTGACCTAGGAGGAAATAGAGCAATGGGTATTTGGCTACTCGAACAAAGATCGGTAACTGCTTCTTTCCATCCCTACCACCATCATTGTCCACGTCTGGAAATCACTAACCAGGGAGTGCCAGCAGTTAGCATAATGACTGTGTCGCTGGACTCCCATGTAGTTGACTGCAATTCGAGTCCCAGATCAGTGACTTAAAATCACGCCGAGCACGTGTGCATGCATGCCCAAGATCCTGAGGGGAGGATGGAGAAGAGATTGCAGCATGGCCATCCCCCCTGGGGGGTGATTTCTCGCTTTCTCTCTGTCTCTCTCTTTCTGGCAAGCGCACACGCCCTATAGGAAAACAAAACAAAACAAAAAACAAAACAACTAACCAGGGCACCTGAAACAAATTTCTAGTTCACTCACTTAATCCCCTCAAATCCAACCGGATTATCCTCGACATCAACCCATCCCCAGCCCCTCTAGCCTCTATTCTACTTTGTTTTCCTATGACTGGGTCATCAGCATCTTTAACAAGTTCCAGGCGACCTTAGTGGGGAAGGGAGGGCATTCCAAGTTTAGGAATCACTGTGTCAGATAGCCCCTAAGGTCCCTTTCGAGGTCCGAAAACACTGTTTTATTGAGTTGGAAAAGTTGCACTCTCTCCCTTTTCAGAGGTGCAGGCCTCGTATTTATTCCAAGCCTGTGGTTTCCGCCAGCCCCACCCCACTATACTGGGGCTTCTTCCTCTTCTTGTCACCATGAAAAGCTAATATGCTCTGTACTCCTCAAGGACACCACCCTTTTCTCCCCATGGTGGGCGGCCGAGCCAGCAGCACCTGTTCCCAGGAGGGGCAGCCGTGTCTTCCACACCGTACACGTTCTCACACTCTGCAGTCTCCGACGACGTTCCTGTGTCACTCACGCACCCTGACAGCATCGCGCCCGCCCCTGGCCGCCTAGTGTGAAGTTTATAGTTTCCTGCCACCGCTTCTCACTCTGCTCATCCCCCCGATTTCCAAACAAAACCGCACGTATCTCTGCTCCCAGTGCATCCTTTGATTTCCACTGTCTTTGTGGTTTGGGGATGCTCGCTTGTTGACAGTGAATGAGAGGGTGGACGCAGCTGTATTTCAGATCCTGGGAGGAAAGCTTGCCAAACCAGCCCGGGGAAGAGAAATGATTCTGCTTCTGTGGTTTACCATGGCCCGAGCTCTGAATTGGCATAGGGAGTGGATGTACAAAAGGCTTTTATTTTTTTTAATTGGGAAAATAAAAATGATAGCTTACAAAGCCAAGCCAGGGGAATTGCAGTTTGCCCTTCTTAGCTTTCAGCTGTGGAATGTGATGACAGTTGATACGGTTCATCCCTGTTTAAAAAGTTCCTCCCTGGAGCCTTCTTCGTTTCTCTGGGATTCTCAACACTTCAGCAGCCTTGTCGCCCTCGCTCCCATTATTTTTATGCATGAAAACTAAAGAATTAGGACAGACCTAGACCTCTCAGGGTGTTTTCTTCACTGCCTCTCTGTGGAAATTGTATTCTCTAGAATCAAATGAGATTATATTTCGGGATTCTATTTTTCTGTTAACCAACTGCAATGACAACGAATGTTGAGGACTTTTGTTGTGTGCTAGACTGTATTCTAAGTGTTCTGCATGGATTAACTCATTCAATTCTCATAACACCCCTAGGAAGGGGTATTCTTGTTAACTCCATTTGGGGGCTGAGAAAACCAACGCACCGAAAGATTAAGGAATTGTCTAGCATTGCAGAGCCGGGAAGTGGCGGATGGTCAGGGCTTTGACTGGAATGTCATATCTGAAGATTAATCAGAAAACTGGAACTAAGGTGGATCTCTAGTAAGCCAACAGAAGCTCTTAGAAAGATGGTCTGGTACCATAAATAGTTCTGCCTGGCAGGGAGGATTAGAGAAGCTATATGAAAGAATTTATAACATAAAATAACCTGGACTTCTCCAGCCCAGCATTGTAATCAGTAGAGATTGCAAAAGAGCAGCCACGCCAGAGGATTATCTTGAGAAAGACTTTGAAGGGAGAAAAAGGGACTGATCTTTGCTAGCAGGGGGTGTATCACAGGATACTTGGTAGGCAGGGCTGAACTGAGGTGTATGTGTGACTTGTGTGCTGGGCATTTGCTTTTCAGCAATTTGAATAGTTGACATGGAAATATTTTCTCAAAAATATTTAAAACCATACTGTCTCTGTTACTAGTACATTTTTGAAAGACCTCTCTGGCTGTCTGTAGTTTGTTTCTGAGTGCTCACTATGATAAATAAAACTACAGCAAATCTCAAATTGCTTATCTCTGATGGTCTCAGAAAAGCATTCTGGCTGGAGTAGAATGTGTAAGCCAGAAGATAGGCACATTGAAGCCATTTAATTTTGATTTTATTATTATTTTAAAAGGGTAAGAGAGAGAGACAGAAAGCGAGAAAGCAAGCCACCAGATCTGGGACTCGAACTGCAGTCGACCATGTGGGAGTCCAGCGCCTTTACCACCATACCTAACCTATGGGCCCCAAAGCCGTTTAACTTTCACTGTCAAATTTCCTTTCAGAAAGTCAGTACCGATTTCCCCAGGGAGCAGCAGTGCTTGATCTCACCTTCTTTCCCACATTTTCATCAATATCAGGAAATTATCTTTTTAAAAATATGCTGTTTTCTAGTTTTTGTATGTTTTCACATTTTATGCTTAACTTTGATCCACGGGAGATTTATTTGACTTGTGATATGTGGTGTCGGTCTAACTTAACTTTTTCCAAATGATTAACCAGTTGGCTCAGCACGGTCCATTGACCGATCTGCACTACCCACTTTGGTTTCAAAGTGCCATCATGGTGTAAACGCATGCTCCAGGGCCAGTATCATATTATTCGAATCACTGTGTCTTTTTAATGCTTTCTTTCTATAGGGCTCTGCAAGTCTCTGTAATCGTTATTCCTGTAGAAATATTCTTGAATGGGCCAGTAGGTGGCATGGTGGTTAAGGCAGCTGGATCCCACATGGCTGTGTGGTTCAAGTCCTGGACCCTGGGGCTTGAAAAACACACCAAGCACATGTGTGTGCGTGCCCAAAGTCATGAGACGAGACTGAAGAAGGGGTTGTGGGGAACCAGCAGTTAGCGTAATGGCTATGTCGCTGGATTCCCACGTAGTCGACCGCGGTTCGTGTCCCGGACCCGGTGGCTTAAAACTCAAGCCGGGCACGTGTGCGTGCGTGCCCAAGATCCCGAGAGGAGAATGGAGGAGAAGGGATTGCGGCGTGACCATCCCCCCTGGGGGGTGATTTCTCGCTTTCTGTCTCTCTGTCTGGCAAGCGCACGCGCCCTATAGCAAAAACCTCTCCAAAAAAAAAAAAATAAATAAAAGAAGGGGTTGTGGTGGGGCCATCCCCCCTGGAGGAGGAGAATTCTCACTTTCTCTGTTTCTGTCTCTGTCTCTCTCTCCAGCAAGCACATAAACCCTATATCAAATTTAAAAAAAAAAAAAATCCTTGACTTTTCAAACCTAACTTTCCATAACACTTTAAAACTGTGTTATCTGTTTTCAGCAATCTCCCCCCTCCAGAAAAAAACTGACTCAGAAGTTCGACAAAAACTGCATTTGTTTTCTAAATCAATTAGGGGAGAAAAAGCATCTTTGTGATTTTGTCTTCTCATTCTTGAACGCGTGATGGTCTTCCTATTTTTTTCAGATCTTTGGGGTTAGAATCCCTTCACTGTTTTGTAATTTTAGTCATATCGGCCCTTAACATTAAAAAAAAAGATGAACTCGTACTTCAGTCACATTTATCAGCAGGCACATGTGCTCGTCAGAGACAGAGAGAAAGAGAGTGGGAGGGGTGGAAACACCCTCAGTGAGGCATGGTCGCCCCACAATCCCTTCTCCACCCTGCATCCATCTTGGGATTGGGGGCATGCACGTACATATATCCAGTGTATTTTTCTTTTTTTCCTCCCTACGAATTATCCATCCATCTTGGGATTTGGGGCATGCACGTACATATATCCAGTGCATTTTTCTTTTTTTCCTCCCTATGAATTATTCTTTATTTAATTTTATTTATTATTATTTTTCAATTCACCAGAGAGAGACCTGGTGGCTTGGGACCCAAACCACAGTCAGCCATGTGGGAGATGAGCCCCTCAACCACCGAGCTACCTGCTGGCCCCATACCAGTAGCAATCCATTCTCCTCTTGGGATTTTGGCATGCATGCACACCCACCTGGTGTGAATTGTAAGCCTCTGAGTCTGGGACTTAAACCATGGTTGACTACATGGAAGTCCAGTGATGTAACCATTCCACCATCCGCTGGTCCTGTCATTACTAAATCTTAAAGAAACTCTTTCTGTTGATGTTCTTCATAGATAGCAGCAGAGACTATGAATTATAAGGTAGATGTAAAAGTAGAGCTATCCTCGGTAAAGACTTCTTTCTCTTGCTAATAAGATTTGGAAAGTTGTTAACTACGGAACTGACCATCAGCAAATAGCATTCCAAGTGGCTTGAGTTCATTCTGCAGGAAGCTGGTTCTTTTCTCCATTTTTGAGTGCTTGTCCCTCCTCCTTTCATGGCCTGTATTTAATGCTCACCAATGGCTCCCTGGTTTTCCCCAGGTTCATTCCAGAACCCTGGTCTGCCTGCAGTACCACGTGTGGGCCGGGTGTCCAGGTCCGAGAGGTGAAGTGCCGCGTCCTCCTCACATTCACGCAGGCAGAGACCGAGCTGCCAGAGGAAGAGTGTGAAGGCCCCAAGCTTCCCACCGAGCGGCCGTGCCTCCTGGAAGCATGTGATGAAGGCCCTGCCTCTCGCGAGCTGGATGTCTCTCTCCACGAGGACAGTGAGACGACTTACGACTGGGAGTACGCTGGGTTCACCCCTTGTACAGCGACATGTCTGGGAGGTATTTGAGCCTTTGCTTAAGCACCGTTTATGCCATGCATTGCTACTGGTTTGAGAAATGACTAAAATGGGTAGGCCAAACATGCAAATTAGCCAAGGCCTACTGGAAGTGATGTTATCCAAATATTCAAAAACTATGCTTTTCCTTTCATTTATTTCACGGTAATTATTTTTATTTTTTTAGAGAGTTTTTGCTGTAGGGCATGTGCACTCATCAGAGAGACCGAGAGACAGACAGAAAGAAAAAAATCACCCTCCAGGGGAGATGGTCACACCTAATCCCTTGTCCTCCATTCTCCTCTTGGGATTTTGGGCATGCACGCACGTGCACTCGGCATGAGTTTTTTGTTTTGTTTTGTTTTGTTTTTTTCCCTTTCTCTCTCTTTTTTTTTTTATTTTGGAGAATAATAAAAGGGTGCATGTGCTCACTGGAGAGACAGAGACAGAAAGTAAGAAATCATTGCCCAGAAAGGATGGCCATGCCACAGTCCCTTCTCCTCTACACCCCCTTAGGATTTGGGGCATGCACGCATATGTACTCAGCATGGGTTTTAAGTCCCATGGCTTGGGACTAGAACCTCAGTCGACTACGTGGGAGTCCAGTGATGTAACCATTACACCACTGCTGGTCCTGAGCAGTGATTATTCTAGAAAGGTAAAGAGTAGAGCAATGATATCCTCACCAAGGAGGCCCCCGAAGAAGGCAGGGAGAAGGCAAGGATGGATATAAGAGTATGTGGGTTAGAAAAGGAAGTGTCTATCTGATTGTTCCTATTTTATTCTTTGCATGAATATTTGCTTAGAGCCTTGTAGGTGAGCGGACGGATGCTGGAGGTCATGACGCAGTATTCGTCCGTGCATCTGAGGGCTGTCGATGCATGTAGGTCTACTCTATTTTGCATAAGGGAGTACACAAGTACCTTTCTGCAAATGGGAGAGTGGGAATGAAATTGAGTTGGCCCACGATGGGCCCCTCCAGCACGCTCCCCGTGGAGATGCATTCCCAGTAACGTGGCACATTAGCAAGTGCTGTTTTGTTCTCTCTGAATCCTTCCAGATCCCGACAGTCTTTGAGCTGTAGTTTCTTCCAGCTCCTCTTGATACGTAATTGGTCACTTCCCCTCAGGCTCCAGTCATGTCTATGAAGCCATTCATAAGGCCAAGTGGCTTTCAACAATCCTTAATCTTTACCAGCTGTCTCCTCCTCAGCCAGTTCCTCAAAAGAACTCACCTACGTGGAGTGTTGTAAAACTTGCATTTTAACTCCAAACGTGACACTGTTCTTTGGTACTTCTCTGGGACCACAACTTAAGCGGTGGGGGGCGGGGGGGGGGGGGGGGCTCAAAAAGCTCACGGAAAAAGC